AACTTATCCCAAACCCTTAAATAACTACAGGGAGCAAAAAAGAAACTGCTTACTCTTCCTCCCAGCTTCTCCATTTTCGTAGACAAACAGGAAGCACATTCACAGAAACCTTAAAAGCTTAAAGCTGAGACTTGAGAAAGTTCTTTTGATTTGAAGCAATAGAAAACAAAAGAAAAATTAGGTAAATTGTATTTGGAAGCTATGAGAAAAAATCAAATTTCAGAAATCAGTATCTGTAAACAATAGAGAAGCACTAAAATGTGAGTCCTGCTGGAAAAGGAAATTAAAAAATATAATAAATTAGTCAGATAGCAGTTGGAAGGTCCAGAGAGATAGAACTTCAGGTAAGGTACTTGTCTTGCATGCCATTTGCCCGGGTCGAGCTGTGACATCACACACACACACACACACACACACACACACACACACACACACACACACATACACACACACACACACACACAGTTCCCTGATTCCCACTAAGAGTGATCCCAAGCACAGAGCCAGGATTAAGCCCTGAGCACTGCCGCATATGACCCAGAAACAAATCAACCAAAAAAAGCCAGCAATTGGAGGGAAGAAGATATACAGAATAAAGATAAATCGTGAAAACTATGTGCCATTGAGGAAATAATCTACTTTATATTAGGTAACCACCACTTTAATTCTTGCCCTAATAGTAACGATCATTAATACTGAATAAAACAATTAATTTGGGCCTTCATTTCAGGTATAACATTAAAGGGGTCACATATATGAATTAAATTTTGATTCCTTTGTTCTTTAAAATAATATGAGAACAAATAAACATGGAAAGATTATTAACCTTTAGAAATGCAAATTATGATCACAGTAGCACTGTCCTCCCATTGTTCATTGATTTACTCGAGCGGGCACCAGTAAAGTCTCCACTGTGAGACTTGTTACTGTTTTTGGCATATCAAATACGTCATGGGGAGCTTGCCAGGCTTTGCCTTGCAGGCGAGATACTCTCGGTAGCTTGCTGGGCTCTCTGAGAGGGGCGGAGGAATCGAACCCAGTTCGGCTGCATGCAAGCTTTACCCGCTGTGCTATTGCTCCAGCCCATATGATCACAGTATCAGTATATATGTGTGTGTGTGTGTGTGTGTGTGTGTGTGTGTATGTGTGTATGTGTCACACCTATCATCATGACTGAAATAAAGGTAAAGGTAAAGGTAAAGGCCCTCCCGTTGTTCGCTGATTTGCTCGAGCGGGCCCAGTAACGTCTCCATTGGAGACTTTGTTGTTACTGTGTTTGGCATATCGAATACGTCACGGGGAGCTTGCCAGGCTCTGCCGTGCGGGCGAGATACTCTCGGTAGCTTGCCGGGTTCTCTGAGAGGGGTGGAGGAATCGAACTCGGGTCGGCCATGTTGGCTGCGTGCAAGGCAAACGCCCTACCGCTATGCTATCGCTCTAGCCCTGACTGGTGACTGAAATAAAAATTGAGACAATACCAAATAATACTGAGGATAGAAAGAAACTGTATAACAATAAAAAACTCATACTGCTCCTGAAAAATAGTTTGGGACTTTCTCACAAAACTAAACATTCAATTTCACACACCAGTAATTGCACTGTGACATTTATCCCTGACAAGTGGAAATTATGTCCATATGAGAACCTGTTCATGAATGTTCATACCACATTAATTCAATGATAGCCCCAAAGTAGAAGAAACCCAGAGGCCCTTTAAACAAAATTTGGTGCATAGAGAGCCATGTCCCTAAGGGTAGAATAAAATGCACTTATGATAACTGAGTTTCAAATATATTAAATTTTCACCGATGGTTTTGGTGTCTTGACTACTTGTAGTCTTATCAGGCTTACAAATCTTATGTAATTCTGTTCATTCTCAAGGTTTGGGCCCTCTTCATTTTAAGGTGAGTTTTAGAAAGAACATGTCAACCTCTCTCCAAAAAAATCAGCATTGAATTGGGATTTCATTGAGTATATAAATCAGTTTGCGGAGGGGAAGGAGAGAGAAGAGAGTACAGGGGTTAAGATGCATTCCTTGCTCGTGCTCACCCCCTGTGTGTGCGTTGGTAACACGTGTTCTCCTAAGCATTGGTCAGTGTAGCTCTAGAGGCCCCGAAACACCTCTCACCATGACCCTGGAGACCCCCAGCACCTCTGGGGTGGCCTAGGTATTCCAGCACTGTCTTCTTGGACCCCTTCCACTCAGCTGCGACTCAGTTGGTCTGGAATTACTGGGAGTGGCCCCTGTGCCCCCATCAGCACTTGAGAGGGCCCTCCAAAGTATCAAATCGCAGAGATAGTCAACATTTGTACTGTTTCTATGGTAGTAATTTCATTTTCTTCCTAATTGCTTTCTCAGAAAGGAAAAAAATGAAACTAATGTCACAGTGACAGTTCCAATATTGACTATATGATGAGCATGGTCAGCACTGAGAAGTTTCAAGTCTCTTGGTTGGAGTATAATGTATTTTCATCATGCAAAAATTGCTTTCAGGAGTATTTTTAAGTTTCAGCACCTTCACACAAAGCAGATCATTGTAGAAATACAGATTTCAGTAGTGTAATATAATTTAAATAAGTAATAGACTTAAGCATATTCAAGTATTTGCCACATGAGAAAGGTGACCACATTCCAAATCTGCTGAGATGGCTTTGGACTTGGGGGTTGGAGGGTAGCCACTAGTAGTGTTCAGGTCTTCCAGCTGGCTCTGCTTAGGGATCACTCCTGGAGGGTTTTTGGGGTGCCATATGTGGTGTTGAAGATCAGACCTGGTGTGAGGCAAGCCCTCTACCCACTGTATTATCTCTATCCCTATGAGATAAATTGGATTTTAATACAAAATCTTAACAGCAGAACAGATCTGTTAATTATGGGATACCTATTACACTGGGGAGATGTCTGGGCTAGAAATAAAAATTAGGGAGCTATCTGTATATAGATGATATTTTTGTATATATATTTTGTTTTGGGACCATACCTGGCTTACTCCTGGCTTAGGGATCACTCAGGGATCAGCTTGGGGGACTATATGTGGTGCTAGGGATTGAACCCTGATCAGTTATATGCAAAGCATATACCCTGCCCTGTATACTATTGCTCTGGCCCCTGGACTGTGTTTTAATGTGTGTTTATGAAATCACTCCTTATTTCATTAAGCCTTGAGTGCTCTTAGATTGAGATATTTGGCAGATGAAGAAATTACAAAACAGTTTGAGAATAGGAACCATGTGAAGTTAGGAGGAAAATCAGTGTGGGGAATGGGATAGAGACCTTGTTTAAGGGAGAAGTGATCACTCTTCCAAATGACAGGAATGTAAAATGAAATCTGAGCATTGACTATCTAATTTATCAGTATGGAAACCATCAGTGACCTCATCAAGAGTGGTTTCAGGGATTACTTCGAGACAGATAACCTGTTTACAGAGATGCAGGAGGAAAAAGGGAGAAAAAGAGATAGCAATGTGGACAGCTTTGGGGACTTTTCCTCTAAAGATAGATGTTTTATAATTGGAGAGAGCTGTGTGGTCAGGAGAGGATTTTGTTCATTTTAAGATGAAAGAACTTAGAAACATATGTTTGTAGGAATAATACAGTAAGGGAAAAATAGATGATGCAGTGTGTGTGTGTGGAGGGGGGGGTAGATTTCAGGAACCAGCTCTCTGAAGAGTGAGAGGAAATAGAATTTAGTGCCAAGGGTGTGGTCTTAGAAGAATAGACAATTTGCCCTTGTGATTGGGGTAAGGAACAGAGTGCACAGGCACAGTTGCAGGTGGGTGGGTAAAATGTGGCAGACGTTTACATTCTCATCCTATTGCTCTGTTTTCTGTGCAATAGAAAGCAGGGCCATCCAGCTAAAGGTAAGGATGGTGGGGAAGAGATGGATGAATGGACCAGAAAAAAATGTGTTATTGACAGGCTATGTGGAAGGCTGTCAAGGTCAGTTGACATAAACCAGGAGTGGGAATGACCAGTGTAGTGTTTGCTCTTCTCTCCTTGTGCTCGGCCTGGAGTAGATGATCGAAAGTCGCATCTTGGCAAGAGGCCTGGAGAAAGTAAAAGCAAGCTGACTGGCTACATGAGAGCTGGCTGAGAAGGGAAGTGAGATCTTGGGATGCTGAGAGACAGGTGAAGATTACCTCAGATAGGAGAATTCAGGACTTGGGGTATGAGAGACAATGATGAATGGGCCCTTGGTTTGGAATTGTAAAAGGTTTTTCAGTTCTAATAAACTAAAAGAAGCCACGAGTGGGGAGGAGGAGAGCAGGGGATGGGCAGGTTATTGGTGGTGGTGATGCTAGATTTGCACACAGCCCCTGAAGGCCTTGGCTCTGATTGTCTGATTTCCCTTGTAACCATCGGCCTATGTGGTGGCAGCTTTGGTTAGCTTGACTTGATACAGTCAAGTTTCGTATCGCTTCTGCCTTAGTTTCTCTTTATTAGCCCTCAGTGCTCTACATAGTTCTATTGATGCCAATTTTCATTTCTGTTACTACATTAAACATTTTAGCCATTACATTTACTTTTGAATAGGTTTTTTTTTTTTTCACTTTGGATTAACTTTTCATTGCAGCCCTTTCTAAATTTTTGAGTGTGTATCAGCATATGGTCTTCCCTTCATTTTTTTGCAGTGCTGAGTATCAGACCCAGGGCTTCACATGCTAGAGAAGTGCCTACTGCCTATCCATAGCCCTGGCTCCCCAGAATACGGTTCTCCCCTCATTTATTTGCCCTCAGTATTTTTTTTTTTTTGGCTTTTTGGTTCACACCCAGCGATGCTCAGGCGTTACACCTGGCTCTGCACTCAAGAATCATTCCTGCTGGTGCTCAGGGGACCATATGGGATGCCAGGGATAGAATCCAGGTCGGCAGCATGCAAAGCCAGTGCCCTACCCGCTGTGTTATCACTCCAGCCCTATATTTTTACATATAACTTTTTTCCCTTGAAGTGAGGAAGTAGATGTTGTTATCTAGTTAACTTTTAAATGTCTTTTTCTTTTAGGTATCGAAAAATAAAGATGGAAAAGAACAAAGTGAAGCTGTATCACCGTCCGAAGATGAAACATTCTCCTGGCCAGGGCCCAAAACAGTTCTACTGAAAAGAACATCTCAAGGCTTCGGTTTTACCTTGCGGCATTTTATAGTTTATCCCCCCGAGTCTGCCATCCAATTTTCATTAAAGGTGAGAGAAGTCATTTGCCAGTCTCTTCAGCTCTTTTTTTCTCTTCCACCCTTCTATCTTAAAAGTGTCATATTTGTATTGTTGTTATAGAAATGTATCCTTTTAGATAGATATATATATATATACATATACATAAATGTATATATCACTTTCTAGAGCCAATCTCTTTTTCTTGTCTGAAAAATCATAGTAATTATAAAGCCCTGTCTTAACTGGAACTTCTTATTCCAAATTTTTGTTCTACTTTCCCTAGTCGGAGCTACTTTTCTACTCTCTAGAAAGGTGGAGAGTTTTTCAGAGAGTATGCAGAGGAAAATGTTAAAATGACTCACTGTTATGACCAGTTACTGGGATTGAATTCTTGGGTATAGAGTGAGTATAGGGGTTAAGATGTTTGCCTTGCACATAGCCAACCCTAGTTCAGTCCCCACTACCACATATGGTCCTGAACACAGAACCAGGAGTAAGCCCTGCAGCACCAGGTGTGGCCCTCAAACCCAAACCAGTCAACCCAACTAAAGGTGAATAATTCTGAATTTTCAGATATATGATATGAAGGCAAACTCCCTGTGGCGTATTCAATATGCCAAAAACCAGTAACAACGATGGGTCTCATTCTCTTGACCCTGAAAGAGCCTTGAATGTGGCAGTTTTTAAAATTTCAGGGCTAGGACGAAAGAGACGTTACTGGTGCCTGCTTGAGGCAATCGATGACCAACAGGATGACAGTGATACAGTGATGATATGAAGGCAAGTCAGAAGGCAAAAGTCCAACCTATCAGCAGAGTGCGTGTGCTGAAGTGCTTGGTCTGTAGTAACAGGCCAGTGAAGGAGGATGTGGACTTGGTACCACAGTGCTGTACACAGAACAGAATGCCAGGTGGCCCTAGATGAACGTTGTCTCACCTCATCAGAATGAATGAATGAATCGGAAAACTTGCCTGAGTCATAAAATGAGTGAAAATGTACCTGGGGTTGGAACTTGGCCAATCAGAATCCCTGATACTTGACTATTTACCACAATGGAAAGGAAAGAATGATATTCAGAGACTTGTGAGCTAAGCTGACAGAATTGAATGAGAGGATTAGAAAGTGCTTTCTAATTTTAAGTATCTGTGAACCTAAGACTGTGAACCTAAGAGAGATAGTTTGGGTGATCGAGGACAGGCCTAGCATGTCTGAGGCCTTGGGTTCAACCCTTGGCACTGTCTGTCCTCTTTCCCCCAGTTCTACTGAAGGTTATTCCTATAAATAGCAATAAAAATTAAAAGAATGAAGCAAGAGAGGTAGTGCACTGGGTAGGTCACTTGCCTACCATGCGGCCTACCCAGCACCTCATATGGTTCCTGACGCCACCACCACCAGATAGTCCCTGAGTGCAGAGCCTAGAGTAAGCCCTGAGCACTACCTTGTGTGACCTAAAAACAAAACCTAAATAGATATGTAGAATATATATGTATATTTTTTCTTTTCTTTTTGGGCCATATTGGGTGGTTACTCCTGACTCTACCTTGAGGAATTATTCCTGGTAGTACTTGGGGGATCATATAGGATGCTGAGGATTGAACCCGGGTCAGCCACACAAAAGGCAAATGTCCCACAGTTGTACTATCGCTCCAGTCCAGAATAAATTTTTTTTAAAAATTTTTAAATAATTGGTATTTTGGGGAGTAAATTTTACCAGTTTGTATTTCCTGAAATGTCTGTGAAACTGCCGAGCTACATTCCTAAGAATCTACTTTATCTGTACTTATGTTACTTATGTATCAAAGCAATTGAAAATGTAAAAGACCCTTTTTGATTAAATTATAAAGCTGGATTTATTTAAATTTTTTTGAGGAGGGTGTCCCACCCAGCTGTGATTGGGACTTACTCCTGGCCCTGGCTCTGTGCTCAGGAATAACTCCTGGCAGTGCTCAGGGGAACATATGGGATGCCAGGAATTGAACCTGGGCCAGCTGTGTGAAAGCTGTGTGTCTTACCCACCTTATCCAAGACTGATTTTTTTCAAACTTTCGTTTTATTCTTAAAAAGAGTTTTGAGCCTTTTTTAAAAAATTATTTATTTATTTTAATGGAAAGTCATTCCTGGCAGTGCTCAGAGCTTACTTATGCTCTTTGCTCAGGTGTCATGCCTGGTGGTGCTCAGGGGATCATGTGTGGTCCTGGGGATTGAAGTGAGGTTGGCCACATTCGAATCAAATACCTGCTCTCTCTCTGGGCTGGAATTCTGAGTTTCAACATGTTGGTAGTGTATGTTTTATAAGATGATTTTATGAAACAGATTAAAGTGCATTATGACTGTTATTCTACTACTTCTACTATAATTATAAATGGTAGTCATTGGAATGGAACCAACTTGAGTGTGAATCCCATCTCTCTCTCTCTCTCTCTCTCTCTCTCTCTCTCTCTCTCTCTCTCTGTGACCATGGCCATGCTGCCTAGCAGATAATAATGGCCCCTTCCCCACAGTTTCTGTTCCCTAATGACATGATACATATAGAACGGTACAGAAAATGACATAGCGTAATTACTATTTACTAGATGTTTAGCTATTGAACACATTGTTTCATATTGGCCTCAATATTATGCACCTTATGTGGGAAATAAATAATCAATTTTTCCCTTCAATTATAAAATTTTGCTTAATTCAAAGGGGTTGTAACTAATTTAATATTAAATAACTTTTGGAAAATATGCAATTAGTACAACAATATTCTTATTTTGTGACTTAGCTGGCAACAATACCCTGACTTAGTATAGAGCTAGAACTAGAAAATGTATTTGGGCAAATAAAATTTTATGGTTACACAGTGAATTATCTGGAGCGATAGCACAGCGGGTAGGGCGTTCGCCTTACAAGCGGCCAACCTGGCCGACCCGAGTTCGATTCCTCCGCTCCTCTCGGAGAGCCCGGCAAGCTACCGAGATATTCGATATGCCAGACACAGTAACAACAAAGTCTCCAATGGAGACGTTACTGGGCCCGCTTGAGCAAATCGACGATCAACGGGAGGGCCTTTACCTTTACTTTTAACAGTGAATTATCAGCTCTCTACTAAATGTCGGGACTGGAGCAGTAGCACAGCGGGTAGGGCATTTGCCTTGTACGTAACCGAGCAGGCCATCCCGAGTTTGATTCCTCCACCTTCAATTCCTCCGCCCCTCTCAGAGAGCCCGGCAAGCTACTGAGAGTATCTCGCCCACACAGCACAGCCTGGCAAGCTACCCATGATGTATTGGATATGCCAAACACAGTAACTACAAGTCTCACAATGTTACTGGGCCCGCTCGAGCAATCAATGAACAACGGGAGGACAGGACAGGACTACTAAATGTCAGTTTTTCTTTCTACAGAACATTGTAACTTTCCTATCATAGAGCTTAAATATGAGTATAGGTAAAGGTAAAGGCCCTCCCGTTGATCGTCGATTTGCTCGAGCGAGCCCAGTAACGTCTCCATTGGAGACTTTGTTGTTACTGTGTTTGGCATATCGAATACTCTCGGTAGCTTGCCGGGCTCTCCGAGAGGGGCGGAGGAATCGAACTGGGGTCGGCCATATTGGCCGCTTGTAAGGTGAATGCCCTACCTGCTGTGCTATATATATATTTATTTTAAAAGTTGCTTTTGCTAATAGCCTAGCTAAGAGTAGATTAAGGTAACAAAACAACCCGGGGCTTGAAAGGAACCATAGAGGTAAACATACCTCATCTCAAAATGAATACAAGAAATTACCTAAATAGCAATTTGGAGACAATTATAGAAAATCCAGTTCTGAGTCCTCTGTTTGGCCCCTGCAGGCAGGTTTTCTAGTAAAATGATAGTGACTGGCCCAGTCCACTTTCCCATCTTCTGAGGCTCCTCTATCCAGTGACCTATTTTGGACAATCATACTCGAGTATCGCTATGAGACATTTCCCCTCTGCATGTCAGAAATCAAATCTCGCCCAGCTTCACCCGTGGCCTTCCTCTCTGGGCTCTCAGTGCTCCCTCCTTAAGGTACAGGATGCTTCCAGTCAGATTGTAACAGCACATTGCGGGAGGGAGTTCCAGCTGAATTGTGCCTTGCTATGACTTTACCAGTTATAAACTTGTATTTTTAGATGAATATCTTTTTCTTTTGTAGGATGAAGAAAATGGCAACAGAGGAGGTACAGTATGAAAGTTTCCGTTGTATTCTGAATGCTTTTATAATGTCTTGTAGTTCTTGAGTAGTGCTCAGTGATTGAGATGAAATTTGAATATTTTGCAGTTCTTAGATGTGAGAGTTAGAAAAATGAAATACCTTTCCTTCTCAAAGTTTTAGCTGCTCACTGCCTCAGCCAATTTAGATCTGTCTGTGATAACTTTACTGGGTGCTGTATGTTAGTGTTTATGGAGGGAATATGTGATGTGAGTGATGTAATTCTGAGATTTCTCTTTAGGAGTAGTAATATTTTTTAATGACAGGGCCAAGGGCTCCCACACAGTACTAAGGGGGCTCCTGGGATCAGTCCTGGCATTCCTGGGGGTTAGGGGATGTCATATAGTGCTATGAGTCAACCCGGGTCCATGCTCATGCAAGGGGCATCTCCTGGCCCCTCTCTTAGGAAACTTAAATGCAGTGATACTTTCAGATGCGGGAATGCTGCCATTGGATTTATTGACTCAAATATTAAAACAGTGTGTTTTGGTCCCTATAGTTACCCTTACTCTTGATTTAAACATTATGTTTAATGTGCACAAAAGGAGAACTGGGGGTCTGGAGCTACAGTACAGTAGATAGGGTGCTTGCCTTGAATGAGAGGCAGAATCGGGTTCGATCCTGGCATTCCATATGTTCCTCAAGCCCTGCCAGGAATAATGCCTGTGTGCAGACACAGGAGTAATCTCTGAGCATTGCAGGGTATGGCCTAAAAACCAAAACCAAACAAACAAGCAAACAAACCCAAAACCAACTTCAACCAAAACAAAAGTAGAATTGGGCCACAGATAGTTATTTCTTAAGCATTCTCATTTGTTTTTGCTTTATATTTGTATGAATTTTAACAAGTTAAATTTTATACACATAAAAATACACCCATTAAAATATTTTACTTCTGGGGCTGGAGAGATAGCACAGCGGATAGGGTGTTTGCCTTGCACGCGGCCAACCCGGGTTCGATTCCCAGCATCCCATATGGCTCTCTGAGCACCGCCAGGAGTAACTCCTGAGTGCAGAGCCAGGAGTAATCGCTGTGCATTGCCAGGTGTGACCCAAAAGAAAAAAAAAATTCTGATTTAGACTTTGCAAAGTTGCAAAATTAGTATGACTTCTGTGTCTCCTTCAATCAATTTCCCTTAGTATGAAAAACTTGCATTAATCATGATACAGTTTATAAGTTTTGTTTGTGTCTCTACGTGTCCTTTCTCCGTTTCAGGGTTTTGCATTACATTCAGTGGCCACAGTTTTTTTGCCTTGTTGGTGTGGGACAGGGCCCCTGTCTTCCCTGTGTCTCATGATCTTTATGGTTGTGAGGAATACTGGCCAATGTTTTTGTAGAAAGTCTTTCCGTATGAGTTTATCTGATGCTTTTTTGTCATCACAGTTTGAAGTTCTGCATTTCAGCAAAAATACCACATTGGCAACTCTTTAAATGTGTAGTTACACTTACAGTTTTATTCTGCCAAGTATGTAATTTGTGAGACCAACATTCCATGGGATTACAGTATCAAAGCGAACCTTGCCCTCATTCCCCAGTGTCCCTTGTGTCCCTCAACTCTTGGCACCCTACCAGCCCTGGACAGTCAGGGAGCTGCTTTCTGACACTGTAGCTTAGTTTTGGCTCTTCTATAATTGTATTTAAAATGATACAATCTCATCATATGTTTTCTTTCCATCCAAGCACTAACCAGGCTTGACTCTGCCTTGCTCCTGAGGTTGTGACTGTCTAAGATGTCTTTCACTGGGCACGTTTTGGGCATTCACCATGTTTATGTATAGATAGCAGTAGTAGTATCTTTGCGGAAGAGCTTCTAAGGGGCCTGAGGACTCTTGGCCATAGGATGGGATGCTGTTCAGGCCCCCTGGTGCCAGGGATTACTTGGATCACCGCAGTGGTGCTCGGGGCCTCCAGGGCTAGATCTATTTGTACTCAGGGGACTGTGCCATCTTGGGGATCAAACCGAGGGCAGACTGTAATCAATCTGTGCCTTAACCCCTTTACATTTTCTCTAGCCCTATTTCTTTTCTTTCTCTTTTTTTAATATTATTGTTCACTTGCATTTGTTTATTTGCTGAGTATTTTCCCTTATATAAAAACATCAGAATTTAAAAAAAAAATTAAAAAAAGAAGAAGAAAACATCACAAATAGTTTATTCACTCATTAATGAATCCTGTCAGATCAAAGTCTTGTAATGCCTGTGTTAAAGATTAAAATGGGAAAAAAGTAGCATGGTCGGAATCAATCTGAGAGCATGGGACTGGGGAGTGCCCTCTGGATGGCCCTGTTCGCAGGAGGGACCACTCCTGCAGCACCATCTCTCACGCCGTGGGGTTCAGAATAAATCCCCAAGATTACTTGGCCTGCTGAGAAATAGGCCTGGGTGGGGGAAGAGAAAACTTAGAGAAAAGAGAAAGAAGAGTGTGGTGGGTGCTCTCCAACAGTGCTCATGCCTAGGCAAACCACAGGGCTCCCCACTTCTAGAATTCCATGCCCACCATGTTCTCGTCTTCACTGAGAAGTAAACATTTAATAAACATAGAAGGACTTAGTTTATGAGCCTTTATGCTAACAAACCTTTATGCAGATGATTATGTGCCTGATGTCTGGCATAGCTGATTGAAGTGAGCAGATTTATTCATTTGCTTTGATAGAAAAGTATAAACTGATCTTTTTTTTAAAATTTTTATTAGTGAAACACCATGAGGTACAGTTGTAGACTTACAAATTTTTGTGTTTGGGTTTCAATTATACAATAATCGAGTACCCATCCCTCCACCAGTGCCCATTCTCCACCACCAATGATCCCAGTATTCCTCCCAGCCCCCTATCCCCCCATCCCACCCCCCTCTGTGGCTGGGCATTCCCTTTTGTTCTTTCTCTCCTTTTGGGTGCTGTGGTTTGCAAAAGAGGCATTGAGTAGTAATCATGTTTGATCTATAGAGGAAAGTATAAACTGATCTTTAAGGGAAAACTAGATGCTCTAGATCTAAGCCAGAAGATTTGCTCAGGCATTAAAAAATTAGGCACAGGGAGACGGGGAGAGAGTATTGCAGCTAGGGCATTTGCCTGGCACATAGCTGACCAATGTTCCATCTCTAGTACCCCATATGGTCCCCTGAACCTGCCAGGAGTGATGAGCACAGAGTCAGGAATAAGCTCTGAGCACCGCTAGAAGCAACCCAAAAAGGGAGTTGGAAAAAAAAAAGTGAGACAGAAATTCTCTAGTCCTTATGGTGAAAATATTTTCCTGTATTCAAGATGCTTTATCGTCTTATCATTTATGATGAAGTTTATAATCCATGTGAAATTATTTTTTACAAGTGGCCTGAAGCCAGGGGGAGTTTTTCTCACCTGTGGCTGTGTGTTTGCCCCTGGCCCAGTTAAGGGGAGATTCTGTGCCTGCCCTCTTGCTATGGAATAGTTCCATCTTGATCATAAAACTGCTGTGTATGTACAAGTTGGTTTCAGAACTTTATTCTGTTCTAGGAATTGTTCCATGGTTGATTTTTTTGGGGAGGTACAGAGTATACAACTAAGAATAGTTGTATTTTTTTAGACTTGTTTAAAAGAGAAGATGACAGATTTTATGTGTCCTGTAAAGTCTAAAATAACTTCAGTCTCACTCTTTGTAAAAAGTTTGCTAACCTCTTCAATCCTATACCATTGGTCACTTTCTTTGTAGTGAGTCTGTAATGTTAATTACTGCTGCTGTAGAGAATTGCTTTTCGATAGAATAAAAGTTTTTGTTTTTGCTTTAGAAAATGCTTTGAGATAGAATAAAGGCTTGGCTTTGTTTTCAAGAAAAGATTGGCTGTTTGTGTCCATTTGCATTATAATGTAATTTTTTTCAATTGGTTTTTCAGTTTGTATGCCTGCCCTCCAAATAACCCCACTCAATTTTTATTGGTTTTGAATTGTTTATATTTAAATATTTAAATAATTGAATTTCTTGCCTGTGAAATTGGACTGTCTCATGACTATTGATTTCCCCCCTATGTCTTTTGGGGCTATTTCTCTGAATTTTCCTCTTTGTTGGGGTGGGCAGAGGCCCTTGGAAGACCTGGTCCTGGCTCTGTGCTCAGGAGTGACCCCTGGAGATGTTTTCGGAGATATATGAGGTACAGGGGTTCTAACCAGCATCAGTTGCATGCGAGACTAGTGACTGATTTTATTTCTTCAAGTGTAGTAAGTAGTTGTTTCATAATATGTCTGTCTTCATTTCTTTATAAGATGCCTATGTGGGATTCTTTGTCTTTTTTTCAGTTTTTTTTTCTGTCAATTCTCACGAATGAATAAAAATTCTTTGAGATCTTAAGTTGAAAATTTTTCCTTGCGTCACTGTCACTGTCACTGTCCTCCCCCCGTTGTTCATCGATTTGCTCAAGTGGGCCCAGTAACATTGTGAGACTTGTTACGGTGTTTGGCATATCGAATACATCACGGGTAGCTTGCCAGGCTTTGCTGTGCGGGCGAGATACTCTGGGTAGCTTGCTGGGCTCTCTGAGAGGGGCAGAAGAATTGAACTCGGGTTGGCCATGTTGGCTGTGTGCAAGGCAAATGTAGAAAGGTTTTTTCTTTTTCCCAGAGCCAGGTGGTTCCTTGGTTCTGTCATGAGAATCCATGCGAAGTTGGGCACGCAGCCACTTCCTGGAGATTTGTTTTCCCTCCTCTTCCCCCTACTTTGCTGAGCCCCAGTGTAGCCCCGGGTAGCCCCACTGAGGCTCCTCTGGGTTGGTGGGGACCTGACTAATACCAGCCTCCCTATTAGGAGGGAGGAGACCCTGGAAAGAGTGCCCCCAGGCAGGGTTTGGGTTTTTTCCATCCCGGCTGCACAAGCCTTTAAAATGTAAGTTCAGGGGGCTGGAGAGATAGCTCAGTGGGTAGAGCACTTGGCTGGTGCATGGCTCACCCAGGTTTGATCCTTTGCTTTGCACACGACTGAACTGGCTTCAATCCTCAGCATCCT